AACTCGTAACTGCTGACCAGGTATCCAGAGTTCAAAACACACTTAACCAACATGGCTACATTGTGTCCCATCAAGTTTACAGCTAATGGGACCACTAACCAACAGGACAATGACCCAAAACACTGGCACCTTCAGGTTGTGAGGACTGTTTGACCAGGAAGGGGAGTGGTGGAGTTCTGCATCAGACAGCCTGGCCTCCACAATCCAGCTGAGATGGTCTGGGATAATTTAGACATCAGAATGAGCCCTAAGCAAATGTGGAGCGCCTTCAAGAAATAAATGAAGCTGGCTGGGAAAAAGCCAAAAGTGGCTACTTTGATGAATCTAACATTCAAAACATTGTTTTGTTGACTTAATAAATACATGTGCTACTTTACAGTTTTGATGTCTTTAGAAAATAATAAAAACAAAGGAAAACACTGAATGACAGTCCAAACCTTTGGCTGGTACTGTAAAAGCTCTACAAAATCTGGCCACATTTGGAGCTATGTACACAGATGGGCTCTTCCTCCTGACTCTTGCAGAATTCACAAGAAAATATCTACAGTGTAGGTGTTGAATGTTGCATTAGGCTTCACTGTCACTGACTTTCTCATTATTCCTTCCTGTAAATCAAAGAATTTTAGGGTAATGGCCAAACAGCCCCACCTACAGGAACGTTAGCAGCATGGAGGGAACCTTGCTAAAGGTTGTACACTGTCAATACAACAATCGCTAAGATTAAAAGCTTTATTTAAAGTAAATGCGGTCTAACAAAATGCTTTTGTAAAACACTAGTTAAACATGTGGTAACTAGACCTGAGAACTGTTCAGCTCCAGGCCCACTGCTCACACATTCATTTTTGATGTAGCCATTAACATATTAAGATCCAGACACTGCTCGCTCAAGATTCCTCTGTAAACCTCAAAGTGGTGGTTCAGATCTTTCTGTGTGTGGATTTTGAACTTGGTCCCTAAAGCCCCATCAGCAGAAGTGGTCCCATAGAACACACGGCCAATCCGGGAGTGGACCAGCGCCATGGCACACATTACACAGGGTTCTCGGGTTACATAAAGGTCATAGCCAGTGCATATGTACGGCTGAAAGCTTGCCTCTGCATCAGGCACATTTGGAAAGGTATCTGAGCCTGGTGAAATCCATCGGCAAGCAGGGTATCTGTCGAAGGAATAACATCCACCACCCTGGCTCCGAGCCACAAGGTCAATGCAGACCATGACTGCGTGATGAAGGGGATTGTCACCTCGGCAGTCATGGCCCACTGCGATGATTCTCTCTGTTGCTGGGTTGACCACTACAGCCCCAACTGCCTCCATCCCCATCTTCTTTCCAGCTTTGGCAGCAGTTAAAGCAGTCATCATGTGCATGTGCATTGTAGCTTTCTGGGGTGGGCTGAAGAGCTCTCCTCTCAGGGCAACTGTCACCTGTTTGTCCTCATGAAAGGAGGTGGGCCAGTGTTTGCTCGCCAGCTCAAACTGAGTTCGAGTCAAGGGAGGTCGTGCAGGGACCTTAACCACAAAAGGCTCACCTAATCCATCATGCCTGACTCCATCTGGGGGCAGCAGAGAGTCGATGCTGGTCACCTTCATGTCTGGTGCATCGCCAATAAGGCACACCAGGACTTCCAGAGGGTGGGGGCTCCCCTTCTCCTTGCAAGCCCGCACCCTCTTGATGTGCTGCAGGCCGTTCAGTGGGTAAAGGATGTTCAGCTCCCTGACAAGTCGAGAGGTCTCTTTTTTGTTGAGAACTGGTGCAGCAAACGCCTCTATCAGCTCGACATCTTGCGACTGCTCATCAGACAGTACAGGATAAGCAACCCAGGAGTCAGTGTCGCACTCCGACCCTTTCCAGCGTTTCCTCTGTGGCTCCATTGTTTTGGTGTCAGCCTGCAACATATGATTTTACACCAAAGCAAAACAAAGTTAGTGCATTTGCAGGGCAGAGCACATGATGACAGAGCCTTTCGGTAGAGACACAGCCCAAGCCCAATCGGACTTTGTGGTCTCATCACTGACAACATGAACAAATCAGGTGTAATTCCAAAAGGAACAGCTCTGTTTAATAACTGACCTACTTCACGTGTGACTGCTATTTGATCAAGGTTTAGTACAAGGTTCTTTGATTGAAAGTGAACATATTTTTTTCTCTTAACTTGTACCAAAAAAATTTAAATGCATCAAACAAAACATTTGCATTACATGGACACAAACCAGACAAGAAAAAAAAAACACCATGTGTCAGACACATTTAATGTGCAAATGACATTTACAGTAGAGCCCAATTAATACCAAAGATAATGGTATTGACATGTTTAAAAACCTCTGATAGTGATATATTTCCCAATATTTAATTTAACAAACAACTTTAAAGGGTAAAGTTTAATCAGTTTCATAAGCAACAAATCTGAAGAGTGGTCAACACTAACAGAGCAGAGACTCAAATATCCAATTTTAGTTCTTAGTACTGGCCAAGTTCCAAAAACACCAGGCCTTACATTTCCCATAATACAACTTTATTTCTCAACTGTTTTCATTGCTTAAGTGGTACTCCTTGGTGCTACTAAACTGAATTTCATGTATTAAATAGGTGGAGTACCCCTTTACATTGTCATTAAGGGATGTGATGATGCTATGAGCTGACCAATACCTTTTACAGTGTAAAAACTAGCTACAGCACTTTTCTTGAATTATACACATTAGGCCTTTTTATAACATATGCCCATACTGATATATTTGTGCAAAGCTAACAACTAATAATCTTCTTGGCCATTCTGATAGATCACTTGTGCTCTTTTGGGAAGTAAAGCCATAATGTAAACAACGCATACACCAGGCACAACCAATCATAGCATCACGTCAATTTTATGTATGTAGTGCTCTTTATAATCAGCCAACAAAACCTAATTCCAGTTCTGACGATTTTCAATCATTTATCAGCTGAAAATACTAAACATTTGGTGGGTTACAAATACAACAAGAAGAGGTACAGAGGAGGAGACACCCACTGATATTATGCTTCATGGTGTAAAAGGAAAAAACAATAAACAGTACCACAACAAAATATCAGGTCAACATGCAATCTTTTTCATTTTCTTCCCAGTATAAGCTTTGTTTTCAGGACTTTGGGCACATGTCGTATAGTCAGTGACACTCTGGTGTCGCGTGTCAGTTTCTCTCCTGACACAGCCCCGGCAGCAGACAGGTTCACCACCTTGTCTGTCAGCGTGTCCTGGGCACATGCCTGGATGCCATGAAGAAGGCGCTGGTACATGTCATCCTGCAGGATCAGAAGACTGCGCGGCCTCACCAGCAGGGAGAACAGGTAGCGGTTCTCCTCCGTCTGTGGGACAGCGTCCTCCAGGCTGCTGATGGGTGTGTAAAAGTCAAGAAGGGTGTGAGAGCCCAGGCTGATGGTGGTGACAGTAGGGTGGTATAGAGGGCCGTCTTCATGAGGCATAATCCCTTCTCCTTGTTTATACTCATTCACCAGCACATGATTGGCCATCTTCCCACTGAATGCACCTAGAGAAGAAATTTTCTCACAGTATGCCTGGAGCCAGTCAGGAATTTTTTCTGCCAGCATGCCTTTGGGATGTGGTAACCCTCCCCAGTTCTGAAGCCGTCGGCCTGACAGCTGAGTCCATTTAGTTTTGGGAGACTTATAGACCTCCTGCAGAAGGTAAGACTCCTCATCCTCTGATATAAAATCTGGGATGTAATACACTGTTGGTAGGGCATCATGCACAACAAACTGCTTCAGTTCCTCCAAAATACAAGCTGGGTTTTCCATGTCTCCTTCAGAAAATCAACATAACATGCTTGTTAAAAGCCAATTTAAAAAGCAAATGCTGGATAACGTCATTGGTGGTTGTTTACAGTGAATAAAGTGTAATATGCAATGTTATCACTGCCATGTGTGATGACTGCTACTGATTGAAAATCAGACAAAAACATCTAAAACATGTATTAAAATGTAAGTCAGATACAAGCTATCTAATGTTAGTTAATGGTGATAGCACTGGAAAGGGAAAATCCCAGCATCGCTTGCAGTGTTTTGAGCAACTTAAGAAGACCAGTGTGTTTCAGCATGAAGCCTTGGTCAGGGTCTGTTAAAGCCACACAACAAAAAGTGAAGTTACCTATGACACCGAAGCTTCAAAGCTTGTATCGAGTGGGGGGGATTTAAAAATGAAGCCTCGCTTTGAAACTTGTCTTTTCCCCAACTGTCACATGATCAATGACAAACGAGGCCTCTGGTTTCTCAAAGAATCACACGACTGTTTCAGTTTACAATTCAGATTCAAACTGTTAATGCAAGGACAGAGAAACCTACTACAGAACAATGATATACTCTGACAAGTCCATGGTGTGGGTGGCACAGTGGAGCAGTGGTTAGTGCTGTTGCCTCACAGCAAAAAGGTTCTGGGTTCTCTCCAGGTACTCCAGCTTCCTCCCACAGTCCAAAGACATGCAGCTTAGGTTGACTGGCAGGAGTGTGGTTGTCTGTCTACATGTCAGCCCTGTGACAGACTGGTGTACTCTCGCACAATGTCAGCCAACCCCTATTCAGGAATGGTGGACAGAAGTTCCATGATATTTTGTGGTTGGACTGCTGGGTGCCTGCCAGGACAGCTGACTCTACCCTGAGTTTTATACATTAATCAGATGTGGTGTCACCTGTGTCAATTAATAGACACACCTGATGCTCCTTTATCAATTTGACCCTTAAATATTATTGGCCTATGACCACGTATCTAACTCACTTATGTGCATGTTTTTAGTGGCCGACATGTATGAATTTGTATGTGATTGCTTGTTTTTTAATTTTTACAGGACTCTTGATTGTGTGCCTCTTTCCAACCCCGACGAAGGTCTTGCCGAAAAACGTGTCTTCTTATTAAAGTTACTCAAAACTTTGCAAAATGTCGCTGGACTTTTTACTTTGCAGTTTGTTTCAACCCTTGTCTATACACTTTGACAGTGGGTGACGTTTTGTGTGTTGATAGCATTAGCAACTTTTTGCTAGCTCGGTCAGCTGCGACTGAAAAGAATCCCAAATAAAACCATGTACAAGTGAACATGATGCTTTGGTTGATATGGTACAGAGTAACTTTCACCCATAGTGTTTTTGGTCGGAAATACCACAAGAAAGCTTTAAACTGTGCTGGTTGTTGATGGCGTGAAAGGTGTGTCAGTAACGTTATGCATGTTATACCAAATATACTGCCTTTACAAAACGTTGGTTGTTAAATGTCCCGTCAACTCCACCAGCTTGGCAAACAATACACTACTTTGTTCCCGAGTTGTACGTTTTTGTCAGACCATTTCTGGTGCCCATGAAGGAAGCACAGCCCGCTAAAAAGTCCAATTTTAAATTCTAAAACGGCGCCGCAAAGATACAGAAACATAGCGGCTGTATTTTAATATCGAAATGACACAAAACACAACTTTACCCTTTTTTTTTTCTTTTCTAAAGCAGAGCTTTGAAGAAAGTACCTTCCGTTCACCCACGGCCGTTCAGGGACACTTAGTTAGCTTGCTTTTATGTGCAGCACACTAAAATGTCCCCTAAAACAAAGCTTCAAATGTTTGGACCTATTTAATTTTTAGAGAAGATTCGTCAAATGATGATTCGGGATTATACGTACAGGGTTGACGGGTATAATGTTAAGTTGTTTTCCAGTCCTTTTTTTGAGTCTCCTTTAGCGAACTATCTGTACTTAATCTTATGTCAAGAACTTGCGGTGCACGGAATTATTTATGGGTGACGCACCACGATGGCGTTGGTGAACTAAAGGGCTGTTCTTCTTATTTTCTGTTACCAGTTTATTCCTCTGAAACTTAATGTGGTGCTGCTGGGATGTGTGTTTGTTATTCTATTAGTTTAATGGTCATTGGGAGCTGAATTGATTGTAACTTATGGTGTCTGACATAAGGCTGATGACCATGTTCCCTTCAAATGTACAGATTTTGCAGCAGCTGCTAAAGTTTAGACCCACATTTGGCTGCTCCCTTTCATTTAGCAAAGCCTTGTGCTCCAGACTGCTTTTAGGCATTGAGACAAGCTGTGATGACACTGGAGCTGCTGTGCTGGATGAGACTGGTGCAATACTGGGGGAGTCACTACATTCACAGAAAGAAGTACATCTCAGGTAGGACAGAGCTGGATTCATTTATCAAGGTCGTTATTTGTGTGGATGCTGATCCACACAAGAGCATCCACACACTGTAAGAATGTTTGTATGTAAACTCAATATTTATTCCCATTGTTAAAAAGATTCAGAAAATCTCCTCTAGGCAAAAGTGCAGGCTCTTTGGAACTCACCACAGTTTCTTCATTTTATGGAATATCTTCACATAAAGGTGATCAATCTGTTTGTTGTTGTGTTGTGTTGCACCTCTGAATGTAACCTTGTCCAGTACACCACCTTTAACTAGGACCTCAGTAATAAACATATCATTGAATTTATTGATTTATGACAATTTCACAAAAAATGAAACATTTTGAAACTTGTAAATACAGATGTTAACACTTTGTTTTTCACAAGACGAAAAGCAACCTGATTAGGTGGAAGCTGGGTGGAGCTCATCTAGTAATTAACTGTAGAGCTGAAGCAACTAGTTGATGGCTATGTACTCACTGAAAAAAAGTCACACTAGCATTAGCGAGTCAGTGGGACATATTTCTGCATGTAACAGCAATAGTTTGACAAATAAACATATTGCTCTCCAGTTTGTGGTTCATTACATGTGTTTATAAGCAGCTAATTCATCAGCTGTTACCTTTTTGAAAAACTACTGAACATGGCATCTCTTCATTTTTTTTCTAAAACATTTAACGCTGTATTGCTCCAACATCAGTTTTGCCTATATGTTTTCTGGTTGGTGGTTTTTTCATATGACAGATACCATAGTTAAATTCACAATACATATATGGGTGAAGCTCCTTTATTTGTGCCTACTGTGACATAAACCACATACCGTAATCTGTTATAGCAAAGCAAATGTATATTCTGGCTATAATGCACATGTATTTGTATGTATATGTAGAATATATATTACATATACATACAAAAAAAGCTTTTCTGGGCTTCTGGCACCAAGGACCTGGATAAATGCGCCAGGTTGCACAGAATGGGCGCCATGTTTCAGTCTGGTATCTAACTTTATGTATCTATAGTGCACACAAGCATATTTTCTAATCTCACATAGCCAAACCGCCGCTTCATCCAGCTGCTCATGTTATTTGTTTCAGTCATTCTTTTTCATTAAAAATGGATTCGCAGTTGCAACATTAGCTGTTTCCATCTTGGCCAGTGGTGTTTGCCTTGATGGTTTTTGACATGATAGTAAAACTGAATAGGCCTGTTTGGTTGGATAAAACAGTCCTGAGAAGGTCTCAGCAGTGGGACTACTGGCATGTAGAGGCTTCAACACATTATGAAAATAGATTTTAGGGGCAAAGTTGTAGGTTTATTCTAAATAAAATCAGCCTATATTGGTTTTCCAATTATTGTGTGGATGCTGAGTCACATATATGCTTCCCTTACTGCAGGACCGGAGGCATCATCCCCAATGTGGCACAACACCTCCACAGAGAAAACATAGAGCGTGTGGTACATGAGGCTTTGGAAAGAAGTGGTGTGGAGCCAAGTCAGCTCTCGGCTGTGGCCACCACGGTGAAACCAGGCTTGGCTCTGAGCTTGGGTGTAGGTCTTGGGTTCAGTCAGTGGTTTGTGAGGCAGCACAAGAAGCCATTCATCCCCATCCACCACATGGAGGCCCACGCCTTGACTGTTAGAATGTTTCATCCTGTTGCCTTCCCCTTCCTGGTTTTGCTCATTTCTGGTGGTCACTCGCTTCTTGCTGTGGCTCGAGGAGTGGATGACTTTCTGCTTCTGGGTCACAGTCTGGATGAAGCTCCAGGGGAAACACTGGATAAAGTGAGACCCTCGAGCTACTATTTGGCTGTTGTTGCTGGACACTGTACTAGAATTGTGATCATGAGCACTGTGAATACTGTTTTTGTGTGTGGATTCACAGGTGGCAAGGCGTTTGTCCCTCATAAAACACCCACAGTGCTCCACACTGAGCGGAGGACAAGCCATAGAGCTTCTGGCAAAGGATGGTGACAGGATGAAAGTCTCTTTCACGACACCTATGGGGCAAATTTATGACTGTTGCTTTTCTTTCGCTGGACTACGGAATGAAGTTACAAGGACAATAATGAAAAAGGAGGCAGAGGAAGGTATGAGCACACACAAGGTCTTCAGAATCACCGCCATAATCCTTGTAGCCAGTGGTTTTCAACTAAGTTACCTTGTGCATTTTGTCACTGCAAATATGCAAGGTACTTGACAGGTTTATGTGCATTTCAAGTAGTTCTCACCTCCTTTTATTGCTGGTTTCTTCAGTAAGCAGTTGACAGAGATTGATGGGTTAGATAAATGAGATGCTGCTGTAAACCTTTGCTGACCTCAGCCTCCCCCTGTAGGTATTGAACAGGGGACACTGCTGTCATGTGTGAATGACATTGCAGCTGCCACACAGCACACTGTTGCCGCTCATCTTGCGAAGCGCACACATCGTGCCATCTTGTTCTGTCAGGCAAATGGCTTGCTGCCATTAAGCAGTCCCACCTTGGTGAGTGCATTCCTTACATACATCACACTTTGTATTTTATTTAATTATTTAAAAAATAAGTTGCGTTGACCTTTTAGAACAATGCAACAATAGTGACCACAAGCATCATAATCATTAACCCATCACTGTGTCCTGAGCTCCAGAGTTGGCTGGCCATCTCTTCCAATGGGACTGTTGGGTTATTGGTGTATTTTTATTTACAAAGCTAGTTTAGATCAGCTGCACACCTACTGTATGCAAACTTATTTCACTGAACTCTTGTTGCAGTCATATTGTAACAAGACACATATTTGCTGTCCGTCTCGAGAGTTCGTACAGAGGATGGAGAGAAAGTTTTAGCTTCATCCATCTGGAGTAGTTTGCAGAACAAAATCACAAACCTGGTATCATTGACCACATTTTAAACTATTGTAAACTCACTGGTGAATGATTCCTTTTCTGTCTTTGTTCTTAATGGTTCTAGTTTTTGGTTTTCAAACTGTTGTATAGTCAGTTTGTTCTTAGCCTTTGTACGTTTTATGCATTGTTTGTTTTATTGTTGTGTATTTTTGTCCTTGTGTGGCCTTTTTTATGCTGCTGTCTTGGCTAGGGTGCCTTTGGAAAAGGGGATTTTAAACCTCAAGGGACTTTCTTGGCTAGACACTGGATAAATAAAACAATTTGAAACATCAATCCATCCATTATCTATACCACTTATCCTGAAGAGGGTGGGGGGGGGCTGGAGCCAATCCCAGCTAATTTAAAAACATTACATCTGAAAATCCTCCCCAACAAATGCATTATTTCCTCCTGTTTAAGTAGCATTTACTAAAAACTACTGTGTGTAGCTGCTTCAGGAAATTATTGAGCCTTTTCTCAAAATGATATTGAGACCCATTTTTGTGAAGATTTATGTCCACAGAAGGAACACAAGAACTTTGGGCTGAGTGCCACAGACAGAGCAGGGATGTTAGAAAGTATTCAAAGAACCAGTTGCATTGTTGATTTTGGTCTTTCCTAGGTTTTGTATAAGAAAAGAGTAGAATAAGTCCAGACTTCTGTAAATCATAGAGCACTGTGAGACTACAAGCTTTCACCAGTAACTGCTTTGTCCTAGGTGCTGTCTGGAGGAGTTGCAAGCAACACATACATCCAAAAGGCTTTGACCATTATCACGGAGACAACAGGACTACGACTGCTCTGTCCTCCAGCCAAATTCTGTACTGATAATGGAGTGATGATTGCATGGTGTGTGTGTGTATGTGAGTACATTTTATGGTGTGATTTAATGTGGAAGTCAGGCTGAGACTGAGACAAACTTTCTTTTAAAACCAGGAATGGTATCGAACGCTTGAGAGAAGGGATAGGGATACTGCCTCCAAATGTGGGTGTCTTCTACGAGCCAAAGTAAGTCAACTCTGAATAAGCTTTCAGACAGCATTTCAGTGGAAAGTCAAGAGATACCAAATGAAACTGTTCTGGTCAGATTTATGTGCACTGCTTAAATAACCATTGGTTCACATAAATGTTGTACCTCAGGGCGCCGCTTGGTCTTGACATGACAGCAGCGGTGAAGGCAGCAGCGATCAGGTTGCCTTCAGTCAGGATCAAGATCCCCAGCTGACAAACTATTTTGTCATGTGCAAAAACGGTTTGAAGTATATGCTGTGTGTATACTACATCTACTCAGTTGTCATCTTATTAGGTACACCTCTATAAAACGAATGCAGTCTAGTCCAACAGGCCTGCGTTAAATCCTTCTTGAAGCTGATGTTCAGTTGTACAAGCTGTTGATTCAACTGTGTAGTGATTTTGGAAGATGTTGAATGTACTGCTGTTGACCTGTACTGGATTTTATTGTATACAGACTGAGATTTAGTAAGATTATTATTATTATTCATTACTTATAAAAATAATTTCAGTATAAATTACTTTTAGCTTGTACATAATAAACTGCCAATACTGTATAAAGCACATTATACAGCTGTTTGTTAAATGTTTTTATATATCTGAATTTCTTTCCAGTCTCTCTGACAAAACCAACTAAAAACATAACATTTTAAGTGAAATCTATATTATCAAGTGAATTACTACAAACAGATAAACAACAATAAAGCTATAATGTTTTTCATTACAAAGAATGTGTCCAGCTTAAGTGGCCAACCAAACAATACTGTATGTCCATCCATCCACCATTACTACTT